GCTGGCATGCGGGGCGGAGGACCGCGCACGCGCCGCGGGCCGGGCCAAGCGCCGAGAGCGGCAGCCCCCCCCCCCCCCCTCCCCGCTCCCTCCCCGCCGCCGCCGCGCGCCGTCGGTGGGCTCTCCGAGCGCCAGGAGCCGGCGGCGCAGCGCGGGCATCTTGAGGGCCCGGATCTCGCCCTCCCGCCGCTGGCGCGACCCCTCCCCCTCCGGGTCCATCAGCAGCCGCCGCTCTGCCTCGTCGGCACGCCGGTTGCGCAGGAACGAGGGCGGGTCGGCGGCGGCGCCTAGTCCCATACCTCCAGGGTCTCGAATCCAGTGTGTGGGCTCGGGCTCCGCGGGCGGTGTGGTCGCGGGGCCGACGTTGTGAATACGCCGACGTGAGGGCGGGAGGGCGGTGTTGTGCAGTGTCTGCAGAGCACCGCGTGAGGACGGGGGGGGTGAAGACGGGTGCATACAGGTGAATGCGGCCGAGTGCCGCGGAGTGCGTGTCCTCTCGAGCGCTGGCTGGGAGGTGGGGAGACAAGACTGCGTGCTCCGCTTCTGGGGCCCGAGATATGGGGAGATGTGGGGAGATATGGGGAGATGTTCCGCTTCTGGGGGGTGCGGCGCCATACGACTCGAGGTCAAACTCGTTGTCGCCGAGCTGGTTCGCGGTCAGCTGGCCGAGAGAGGTGTCTGAAAACTCAATCAGCCGCTTGCGCAGCGTCACGTCACAGATGCGGACGACGCGCACAACCTGTTGGGGGGCGAGAGGAGGGGGTAGGAGGGGGGGGGGGGAGGGGAGGGGGGGGGGGGTTTGGGTCCTGCGGGGAGGGCGACGCGCCGGAGAGGTGGAGGTGGTGGCCGAGGTGTGACATGAGGGGAGGTGGCTGCGGAGAGGCAGCTAGGGGGGCGCTGCAGTCGGAAATGTCTCGGAGGTGTCTCGGAGGTGTCTCGGAGGTGTCTCGGAGGTGTCTCGGAGGTGTCTCGGAGGTGTCTCGGAGGTGTCTCGGAAGTGTCTCCGCGGAACCGGCGGCCGCACCTCGCGCTGTGTGCGGCGGAAGCCGTGGATGCGCGCGGCGATGAGGAGGGCGGCGCCGCAGATGCCGGACGGGCGGCGGCCGGTCTGGATCCAGTCGCGCTTCATGCGCTGGACAAGGCGGAGGGCGGACCTGCGTGTGGAGGAGGCGCTAGTCCCATACCTCCAGAGTACCGAATCCAGCGTGTGGGCTCGGGCTCCGCGGGCGGTGTGGTCGCGGAGCTGCGGCGGAGGAGCTGCCTCGAGACGTCTCCTCTGCTCGCCTAGAGTCTACTCGCCTAGAGTCTACTCGCCTAGAGTCTACTCGCCTAGAGTCTACTCGCCTAGAGTCTACTCGCCTAGAGTCTCTGCCTCGCTGTGCTCGCCGTCTCCGCACGCCCCCCCCCCCC